CCAAACATGCTGTTTCAGCTGAAGTTCAAGAATAAGAAGATGTGGAGAAGGGCCACAGCTGATTCTCAGTGGGCACTGAGGTAAGAAATTATATACTGCTGTTATAATTCATGGAGATTAGGAAGTGGTTACTGTAGCATAATTTAGTCTAGCCTGACTGATACAGAGAATAAACTTAGTTTCTAGTTTTTCAGCTTGTCCTCCTTGAAACTTGATTTTGTTTCATACCCATGAAATCCTCTGAGATCACTTAAGTGGGTGTTCTGTTCCTTATAACCAAGAGTCCCTGATAAAATTGATAACAATGATATTATTTAGAACGATTTTGTTCTTTTTACCATGTAATGGGTTCTTTCCTCCCCTGTGCCAAGGTTGAGTTGTATGCATGCACACACTTTGAGAAATGCTTAGATGAGAGAATTTACTGCACTGAAAGTAAGGATAATTTTTGACTGTGTATTATTATTAGTCAATAACAGATAGCTATGATAGTTTTCTCTTACTTTATGCAAACTGCGACTTAACCTGAAATATCAATTAATAGCATTGTTTCATGGTATATACAGGAAGAACAATTTCTGCTACTTCAGAGTGATAACACTATCTTCACTGGAGAATCTGAAACAATGGACTCCTATCAATTATCACTTTAGCTTTGTTATTGAAAAATAAAATCCCTTTGTTTACTATATACATAAATCTTTGTGTAGTGTTTTCATTTCTTGAGCTTAATTCAACTGAGTATTCTCTGAACCTCCCCCCCCCACCACCCACGAGGGTATGGCTCAGTCTTTCAGGCCACCCTCAAGAGAAGCCTTTTACTGCATCCTGTGCTCTGAAAGGAGTGAGCAAAGTCTCCAAAATTAGGGCATGAGATTTTTATGCAATAATTGTTGACTAGTGAGACAGTAACTTCTGTTTTACACAAAACTTTCTCTCGTGCCAAACTGAAATGAATAAACATTTAAATTAGTTTTTCAAAATATTTCCACAAGTATAGTTTTGTGGGTAGGAAGCATAGAAGTTGTAAGACTTGCTTCAAGCTCTTGGCAAGTAAGTGGCAGCATCAGGTCTGGAATGGGATCTCTTGTCATCTAGCTATTTCTATTATGCCTTGGTACAAAGAACAACTGACTTCTCTGATACATTCTCCTCAATATCTGTAACACTGTGCACAGAATGTTCTGACTGTCCTAGAAGTAAAGTCTAAAAATATAAAAAACATGAATATCTGCTACCTATTATATTTACCATAGGAACATCTAGATTATACTGTGTTTACTGCTTATAGTTAACTGAATATCATTTTAGTTATATTAAATGACACGCTTTGCTACACACATATTTGATGAGATGCCAACATACTACAAAGCAGATATTTGTTTTCCAGAATAGTTTGAAAATTAAAGCACTGACAGTTTATTTTAAAATGCAGCCTAAATTGCAAATTTTCATTAAAAAAAAGAAGGTAAGAGAAAAATAACATTTGAAACAAGATTCAGAGTAGATAGTATAGAAAGGAAAAGAAAATCCTTGCTCAACTGCACAAATACAAAAGAACAGTGACAAATATATTACTAATTCAGTGATTGATAAAATATACCAAGAATTCAAGGAGGATGTTAGATTTAGAAATGTGAATTGCTAAAAATACAAAGCAGTAACAGTGGTTCCAATTGCCTATTTTAAAGTATCTACAAAATTATTTTTTTGTGTAGCAATTCTTCATACCAGCCTAACTTGGGTAAAATAACCTAGCAAATGCTGGTACTAAATATAAATTGTTACCAGACATTTTTCTTATAAGGCAGTATTATTTTTCATGGATTTTGAAGGCCATACACATGTGAGAAGTATTTTAATTTGGTCAATTGACAACTAATGAGATTCAACAGTTGTTTTTAAAGCCTCTAAAAATAAACTTCAGCCATTTTGCTTTAATGTGTAAGATGATGATTTAGTCCTTGAGGGAAATACTTATTCATAGAATTTTAATCATTAGAAATGACTAATTAATACAGTAGAACATTAATGAAAACTTTTGGGTCTAGTAATAACCTGTGTTGATAACTACTTGCCTGACTTTGGGAAAACTACTTAATGTAATTCTTTGCTTTCCATTGTTTTGAAGGGCATAGAAATTCTGGCCTATGAGCTTTTGTGGAAACAGAGCATAAGGAGACTATATGGGAAAATTTAGTATTAACACATTAATTACTTTATTAAGAAGATAAGATGGGTGAGTAATGCTTGTTGTTCATCTAAGATGATAAGCAAATGTTAAAATCTGTCATCTTTGTGCCTTATTTATTTATTTATTTATTTATTTTTGGCAGTTTAATGATCCTGATATTGACTGAACAAAAATTATACATATTCACTATTTTGGAAAAAATGTGCAATAGATCAGAGAAGAAGTGTTCTCCCTGCCCCCCTCCCCCCCGCAATGAACTAACCTTCCTTTTCTAGCCTACTTATGTCTCAAGGTCTTTGACATTATTGGTTTTTTAACAGACATCCAAATTTCAACTCAGTCCACACCAGTGTCTACTCACAAATTCCATTTCTCATAAAACGAATGATTTAACATTTCAAATCTACACAGGGTTTGACAAAGATGAAAGGTTGCTTTTGGTCTTAATGGATAAAGTATATAGGCTCTCCGTCACAGAAAAATAATGCTGTGGTTTGACCATCCTAATTAGCCTGTGACTCTAAGTTCTTTTTTCAGACAGGGAGATTAATTTCTTAGTTCCAAGGGTAGTTTTGAAAGGTAATTTAAAAGAGGCTGTAGTTAGCAGTTTAAGAGTGAAATCATAACATGAAGAAAAGATTGGCGGCAAACTAAAGTTTTGAAAACTTTCAAAATTAAGTATCGTTAACAATTTTAAATTGAAGTGTCTTCAAAATAGTGGCATGTGCCTAGTAGGGCTCAGATTTGTGCTGATTTAGATTTTCATCAGTACAGATAAGATGTAATAGGTTACATGTGAGAACACAAATGACTGTAAACACAGGTCACATTCAATTAATACTGAATTGAGAAAACCTCCCTGATGGCTGAAAACAGTGATACCTTATTTCTTTTCTTGTTGTAAATAAAATATCAATGTTCCAGCCTTAACCCCATCGTTTCTCTCAAAGGCTAGTCTTTCTGGTCTCCAAGCAATGCTGGGAAATCCTTAGTGGGGCACAGAGGAGGCCTGAGCACCAACTTTACTGCCCTGCCTGATCTTTGGGCTTGCAACTCAATGATGTGAAGAAAATCTCTTTACAACAATCCTGAACTCCTGTCTTACCCTTTGCATCTCCAACAAAGTGAATTATTTAAAATTAGAATGGGGCACCTGGGTGGCTCAGTGAGTTAAGCTACCAACGCTTGATTTCAGGGCAGATCATGATCTCAAGGTTCCTGGAATTGAGCCCCAAGTCCAACTCTGTACTGACAGCAGGGAGCCTCCTTGAGATTCTCTCTCTCCCTCTCTCTCTGTGCCTTCCCTGCTCACAGTCTTGCTCTCTCTCAAAATAAACATTTTTTTAATCTTAAAAAAATTAAAAGTGCAATTTATACACATCTCCTCAAGAGTGGTTCCCTTCCTTCTAAGCAGGGTGGGCATAACATTATCAAGATCTTTCTCCTCATGAAGCTTATTTTCTAGTGTGTGAGGAGGGGAGCAATAAATAAATACAAAAATAACAGGATAATTAAAATATACAGCATGCCAGTTAGTGGTGGCTGAGAGGAGTGGCGGCAACTGTGGCCAGAAGGGACTGGCAAAGGTGACACGTGAGCGACAATCTTAAGGAGGGAAGAGAGTGAGCCATTCCAATACAGGGTTTTGGGTAAGGCTGTCCCAGGTTGAAGAAACATCAAATGCAAAGGCCCAGGGGCCGGAAATGTGTCTGGTGTTGGTTAGGGGACAGTGTAACTGGAGCAGAGGGGAAGAGTGGGAGGAAATAAGGTCGATGAGACCAAATGTGAACAGGTCAAGCAGGTCGTGGTGGGCCATTCCAGGGACCGTCTAAGAAATGGACGTTTGGAGGATTCTGAGCAGAGGAGTGGCATGACCTAAATGTTGTTAAAGGCACTCTTCTTGAAGCTAGTTTTGGTGGAGGTGCCATCAAAAGAGATCAGAAAGATAAATCCGATGGTAACAGGTGCCTGAAAGCTTGCTAGGACAACTACTGAAAGGGGAAAAGGGTTGAATCCTAGACCAACGGGTACGTGGTGGTTGGGAGCACGGGGTACCCTGGGAGACGCACCTGCGCAGCTTTCAGGCCTAGACCACGCAGAAGCCTCTGGTCCTGCTACTTCAGCCCCAGGTCCCTAGCCTGGGGAGGGTCAGGGCCCGAAGCCCTCAAGCCTGGTTGCCGTAGCCACCACAGGATTTTTCTTTCCCCTCGCTACACTCCCCACTCCTGGGGGCAAAGCACCAGGTCCCGCATCCGCTCCAGCGCAGACTCCCAAGTTTGGGGCAGCGCAGACTCATCAGTATTCCGCCCGCGGAGTTCTCCCCGCCCCCGCCGCGAATCACCGCGCCCGCCTATCCCGCAGCTCCAGCCTTTCCGCGTTCCGCGCCGCCTCACCGCCCCCACCCGGTCCCTGTGGACCGCAGCCGCATCTGCCCTGAAGCGTTCCTGGCAGCCCCGGGCACTGGCGGGGTTACGCCGCGCTTTCCAGCAAGCTGGCGGCGGCCACAAGCTGCGTCTCCGCAGCGGAGAGGGGGCGCCCTGTGCTAGGCGGCGCCCCCGGGGAGACCCGCTCTAAGGCATCCCCGCAACAACTCTAGGGATATTCGGCTCCCCAGCTCTCGGTTTAAGGTCCCCCTGCACTTCTGCAGTGCACCAGACGGGGGAAGCAAATATAGGAGGACCTGCATTGCGCCCCCGCTGGGATGCACTTGCGCAAAGAGGAGACCGTCTGCTGCAAAACCGGAGGATCCGAGGCGCAGGGAGTTAGGGGTGTTTTTTTTTTTCTTCTTTTTTTTTTAAGGACTCACCTTGTGCAGTTTCCACATGGCCCCCAGAGCTTTGACTTCGTGGCTGGAGTGTTTGCCCTCCTCCAAGCACTGGTAGCACACAGGCATCTTGCACTGCACGCAATACATGCTGTGGTTCTCCAGCTCGTGATCTGTGCAGGTGGATACCTTGCGCGGGCTCAGCCGCCGGCTCACGCGGCCCTGGGCCGGGGGCACCAGGCGGTGCTTGGCTAGGGGCCCTCGGGGCGGGTGGCAGCGCAGGCGGCACGGATCGCAGTAGAAGACATCGCACTGTTCGCACATGACGGTGGCCTCCTTAGGCGCCTTCTCGCAGAGCTGGCACTTGAGGGCTGCGGCTTTGCTCTGTTGGTAGCGGTCAATTACCCCTTCCAGGACGCGGTTCTTGGGGAAGCCGCGGAGCCCCCGGTCATCCAGTATGAGGCTGCGGTGGCACTGGGGACAGGTGATACAGGAGTTGCGGGGCACCGGGGCCAAGGCCGGTGACAGATGGGTGGCCGGTGGCGGCATAGCCGGCGGGAACACGCGGACGCCGTTGGGGGACTTCTGGCACGGCGTAGTGGGGGCACTGGCGAAGCCCCCGTAGGAACCATAGCCGCTGTCTGCTTCGCTGTACAGGCTCATCTTGTCCAGGTCCAGATAGTCATAGTCGGAGACCCCAGAGCCCGAGGCCCGACGGCTCTGGGGGGACTCAGACTCCGGGGTCTGTACCAGGATGTTGCGGGCGCACGCTTGACATAAATTGTGAGAGCAGGGCAGGATGATGGGCTCCCGATAGAAGGAGCCGCACACAGGGCATTTTAACTCTTCTTCCATCTCTTCCATGAGGACCGGGCTGGGAGCGAGGCAGCAGCGGCTGCAACGGTTGCCTGAGCTGGTGAAGCGGCCGACGGCGTCTCGTCTCCAGCACCTTGGCCAGCGGCGGCGGTGGTGGTGGCGCCTTCCCGCGTCGCCTGGGCACGGACACCCCGGGAGGCGCTTTCTCTCCAAGCCACTCTGTCTGTGAGCCAAAGAACCGCGACGCCGCGCGCCAGCCCCGGAACGCCCCCTCCTAGTCCCGCCCTGCCCTGTAAACAGCGGCCCATTGGACGGCGGCGAGAGAGCGAAGCTCTCATTGGCCACGCGCCCCGTCCTTCTCCTCTCTTCTGCAGGCCAGGGGGGTTTCGTAGCTGACTCTGGATGAGCGAGTCTTCGCTCCCGGCTGCAGGATCTCGGGAGGGGGCCGGCGTGCGGAGGCGAGGGCCCGGGAAGGAGGAATTAGGCGGGATGACTCATCCTTCGCCCCGCTTCCTTCCGACCTCCGGTGCAGTCACCCAGGAGCAGGGGGCGTGAGAAACCCCTCCCCGCAGCGAGTAGGCTGGCGGAGGGGGCTGGCGCTTCTCGCCAACTGTCTTGTGTTTGGCTTCCAGCTCTGGTGTCCGCGCCGACCTACCACCAGCTAGGGCCGCGCGACACCGAGGACCACCCTCCCCCCCTTCTCTTTCCGCTGCTGGCAGCCTGGGCTGGCGCCTCACCCAGGCCTGGATTTCGGTACCGCAGCCGGGCTCTTCTCCCCTCCAGGAACGCGGTGCAGCCCGGCCCCGGCTCTACCCCATCCCAGGCGTCGGGCGTGAGCCCTGGGAAGCGCTTCTTTGCTTCTTTCACCCTCAGTCCCTGGGTTTTAAGACGGGATGAATAATATTAATTTCTTAGTGCTGCCGTGAGACTGAAAGGCTCAGTATGCTAGTTAAAATCTCTGCCCCCTACCTTTCCCGCTTTAAATTCAGGCTCGGCCCAGAGGCTTCCCAAGCCGTGGTGTGAACCCTAGGGTGCGAACGTGCCTCTCTCCTCTCCTCACTCTCCCTGCCTTCCAAAGCTGTGCTGTCACCCTGCTCTCAGCGCCTGGTTGTGCTTTCGCGAGGCCAGCAGTACCTTTGGCTCAGTTTGAGGCAGGTATGGGTTGCCTATTTCTCAGTGCCCACAGTTTAGTAACTAGCTGCAGATGAATCACTGTGTCACTGCGGAGTCTCCGTGTTTGAATCCAAACAGCATTATTCAGCGTCACGTGGCCTGAGCCTTTACCACAGCTTCAGAATGGTGGGTTCTTTCCGTTTCTTCTCGTTTCCTCCAGTGAAGTGCGTGGGGGTGCTGGTGGAGGGGTGCGGGTAGGGGATGGGGGTTAGTTTTAGGATTAGTCCTCAAATATTAAGCCCCCTTCTTCTCCCTGTCCCCAAACATTCATGGAGATATCTGGTCCTGTCCCTTGCCCACAGAACTGTTAATTTGATTAATGTAGGAGGAGGAGGAACCCTCCCCAGCAAACCCCCCACCCCCCAAAAAAAGAAAGAAAAATCTTTGAGTCAAGTGACTTAGTGACATTCTGAGATAGCCGCTTTTTGAAATAGTACATGGCTGCCTTTTGCTGAGTAAATGGCAAAAACTCATTCCAAGGTTTAAGAAATCTTCCATTTTTCATCTTCCAAAAAAAGATAACTTGATTATATGCAGCTACGTTTATAATTTAAAAGCATTTTATTGCCCAGTGAAAAATGGACCATAATCCTGCCCTTGGAGAAACAGTCCAATAAACTAGGTTATCTTTCCAACACCTTCAGTTGCAATGAAAATAGCATTTGATTATTGTTTGGGGGAGGGGGGGTTCTCATTGTTATTTAAAGTTACGCTAATCACAAATACCATCTGATTTATTTTTAATGTGGTTTTTAACTAGCTTAGTTCACAGCATCCAAAGGCATATGTACTCCTGTTTACAGACATACAGTTTCTTCATGTGGGCTTGGAACATTATCTGTATCTGCAGGATTTATCTAATTTAAGGGTCCCAGAAGAATTTGCTAACACTAGTTAATTATTTTTTTTTTTTTAATTTTTTTTTCAGCGTTTATTTATTTTTGGGACAGAGAGAGACAGAGCATGAACCGGGGAGGGGCAGAGAGAGAGGGAGACACAGAATCGGTAACAGGCTCCAGGCTCTGAGCCATCAGCCCAGAGCCTGACGCGGGGCTCGAACTCACGGACCACAAGATCGTGACCTGGCTGAAGTCGGACGCTTAACCGACTGCGCCACCCAGGCGCCCCAACACTAGTTAATTATTAAGAAACTGTTAGAAAGGAGTGTCAGTACCACTCATAATTTACAACCCTTTCCATGACTTTTGTATGCATTTGCCTGAAAGTCAAAGTGGCCTTGGGCCAAGGCTATGGACATTTCAAGGCGAGCAGCTGTTACTCCTTTTATGAGTTTGAACTTTGCTTATCATAGTATACCATCTGCTATAGATTAAATGTATCTCCCCAAAATTCATATCTTGAAATACTAACTTGCAAGGTGATGGTATTAGGAGGTGGGGCTTTTGAGAACTGATTAGGTCATGAGAACAGAACCTTCATGAATGGGATTAGTACACTTATAAAAGTGGCCCAAGAAATCTCCCTTACCCTCTTCCAGCCTCATGAGGTTACCATGAGAAGACCACCATCTATGATGGCATCTTGCCAGATGCCAAATCTGTGGGCACCTTGATCTTGTAATTCCCAGCCTCCAGAATGTGAGAAATACATTTCTATTGTTTATAAGCTATCCAGTCTGTGGTATTTTGTTTTAGCACCCCCAAAAGACAAAGACACCATCTAAGAGGTCTGATTATTAGCAGAAAACGTATCCTAAGTTAAAAATAAAGGATAATTTGGGGTGCCTGGGTGGCATAGTCAGTTAAGCAATAGACTCTTGATCTTGGCTCAGGTCATGATCTCAAGGTTTGTGAGTTGAAACCCCACATTGGGCTGTGCACTGATGGCACGGAACCTGCTTGGGATTCTGTCTCTCCTTCTCTGTCCCTCCCTCTCTTGTGTGTGCTCTCTTTCTCTCTCTCAAAATAAATAAACTTAAAATTTTTTTAAAAAATAAAGGATAATTTTAGGAAATGTCTGAAGTGTAATACACTGTTGGTTTCACAGAGACTCAATAAAATACAGATTTATAATATAATCAATACACAAAGAGTTGAGCTATTACAAAATATATTGAGATGATTTAATTGTTAGATCTACTTGGCCAGGAATTAGCTAAACCAATCCCAGGAGAGCTGTTAAAATGACTGTAATTTGTTAAGTGTTCATTTTGTTCCAGGAAGTGGGTTTATTTATTTACATGGATTACATAGTTCAGTCTCTGTGATAATAAAAAGAGGTGGGCGTAATTGTCTTCATTTTAAAGATGAATAATCTAAGGATAAACAAAGTACTCAAGGTCAAATATTGATGAGGCTGGGATTTGAATCCAGGCACATGTAATTTTGCTTCCTTGTTCATTCATTCAAAAAATTCTGAGTTCTCACTCTGTCAAGCTCTGTGTGTAAGAAATACCCAAAATGATATTTTTTTAAAGTTTATTTATTTGAAAGAGAGCACAAATGAGAGGGAGGGGCGGGGAGCAGAGAAAGAGGGAGAGGCAGAGAGAGAGGGAGAGAGAGAGAATCCCAAGCAGGCTCTGTGCTGTCAGCAAAGGAGCCTGATGTGGGGCTTGATTTCAGGAGCCATGAGATCATGACCTGAGCCACCCAGGCACCCCCAAAATGATCTTTGTTAGCTTCTATACTATTCTGTTTACCTTCTCGGTGAGTTTATTGTTTTTCTTGAATTCATTTCTCTACAAATATTTTCTAAACTTTTGAAGATTTTCCCTTCATGTGGCCATAATGTACTTTAAAGTCCTCCAATGAGCTGTGTTTAAAAAGAAATAAAAATCTGAATATAATTGATGGTATTATAGAAATACTGTAGGGAATATCTTCTCTCTTCCAGCTGGTGATCAGCCCATGCCCTGAAGCATGAGGATTGAAAGCTCTGTAATTTTATCATTCCTGGGGTGACTGCAGATGTTCTCATTTGTGTAAAGTGCCTTATTATACTCTGAAACTTACTAAACTATTCACCCAAATGATGTTTTTTAGTAATGGGTTGAGCACATTTAAAATGTACTAGCAGCTTTTCATTTTTTTTTTCAAAAACAAATGCTTTCCAATGAAAAATTTAGTGCTTTCCTACTTAATTTTTGACTAAAGTGCTTGATTTTTGACACAATAATCTCTTTGATTCTAAAGAATGAGCACTCAGAGAAGAAAGAAGTCTCTCTCTTCTCCCTGCATTCTCTCCTAAAGCCCTCAGTCCTTAGTTGTAAAGGGAGGAATCAATTAAAGGAGCTCATTATAGGCTTTGGCACTTTAAGATTCTTTGACACATAGATAAAATACTCTGTATTTACTTTGTGATTAAGGACTTGCTGATGGTGGTTTGTAAAAATTGCACTATTTAAAAAGTGATGTTTTTATTTCAGAAGAAATTCTGAGGAAAGTCATGGGGTAATTTAGCCCATTAACATTTAATTTTATATTTGTAATGTTTGTGCCATCCTTTAATAACTCCCATATTTATTTCTTATTGATATCCTATTGCCTTTCAAATTACACTAATATTACAGTAAATTAAGAGTGTTTTGCCCATTTAGTACTACTATATTCAAATTCGTAGTATTCCTAACTATAAGTAATACATTACTAATACTGTAGAAAGGGTAGACAGGAGAATCTGGGAAGATGGAAGTTTAATGAATCTGGTATCAAGGTAAGAGAGTTGGAGGATAAATCCAGGAGGCCCGATGTGTGAATAATGGGAATCCTAGAAGGAGGAAAAGGCACAGATGGAGGAAGAAAATCATGATTGAAAAGTAATTGTCCTGAATTAAAGAAAATATGTGAGATTACAGATTGAAAGGGTTTTAGAATTATAGATGATATTGATGAAAAATTACCCAGGTATATATGGAT